GGGGGGAGCGGCGCGGGGGAGCGCGGGCGGGTGGGGAAGCCGCCTCGCTACCCCCACCCTCGGCTTTTGTGATTCTTGTGTTCTTCTTACCGCGTCGAGCGGAATAGCCTATTCAGGGTCGTGTTGTATCATAAAAAGACAGATCGAGTTCGAAGATGAGCATTCTAGCTCAAGAATTGACTTTTAAGAAAATCAAAAACCACAGGTCGAAAAATAATTTTTTTCTATTTCTTTTTCTTTTCTTTTTTTGGTTTCTAGATGGTAACTTGTGCAAGTCCGTTTCTGTCTATCTTCCATCGTTTCGGCGCTATGGGGCATTTCTTGGCGAAAACAACGTGAAAAAGACAAAATGGTCTATAGCGTCATAAAAGGTTTCATGTCACTGAATAGGGTATTCCGGACAAGCGAAGCGCCGGTCGAATCTCAGCCTCGCGGCTTCCAGATCCGGTCGTCTGCTATCAACTGCACGGTGGCGTTAGGTTAGATGGTGATCTGGATTTCAATCTCGATTTTTAGAATGAAAATATTATTCAAAATAGTTTTGCTGGTATAATAACACGTAATCGTCATAATCTGAAATAAGAAGTCGTCGCTAACAAACGCGACGGAGCAATGGACAGCAGACGCACGGATACAGAAGCCATGAGGCTGAGAGCGGACTAGCGTCATCTTCGCCTCCCATTTCCGGCGCCAAGCTTACCCGGAATACCCTACTGTAAAGGGAGTTACAGGTAAAGCCACACATTACGAGTCGAACCACACCCTCTTTTGGGCTTCAGGGAACCTAGATTATCTAGTATCACTAAAACGTTACTTTTACATAACTATCTGCCAAAATTCGAACTTTTAACACTAGAACTACCGGAGGGGTAAAAATGACCCCTTTCGATTTTGAATTGCCAAATGAACCATCAATATTTTTTTTTCTACCGACCCGCCACTTTTTGACTTTTCATGGGTCATCAAAATACGCTTTGACACGAAAACCCAGGCATGTGCGTCAAAAACCTTAGGAGATATTATAACATATACCTCGCTCTACCGAAGGGGTCATTTTGACCCCTGTGTCAGTTTCCGAGGGCTTTGTGGTTTTAACGAGCGGTTTTCAACTTAAACCTTGCTATTGTTGTTCTTTGTGGAAAGTGTTGACTTCCGCTTGGTCGTGTGACTATTTTGAAGCTCTATAAGCACAGGTAGGCAACCCGCACATCCCCATGGATCATCCAAAGAGATTACAAACAGAAATGCATTGTGCAGCTGTGTGCTCGCTCCTCTTTTTGAAACTATCAGTACATTCTGAAAGTTGACATTTCAAATGTATCTTCAATGCTTGCTTTATGTTTTTCCATCCGGGTTGGAGCACAAGATTGATGGTATTTCTAAAACACAAAAAAGCGAGGGGTCCGCAAGTACGGTCTGCTGGTGTACAAATGTGGTGGGCTTCCTAGTTTTCCCGGTCTTCCCAACTTTTCCTTGGTTTTCCCAATATCTTAGTTTTCTGAAATTTTCTGAAGACTTCCTCCAGTTTTCTGCGGTTTTCTCGCATTTTCATCGGTCTTCCCTTACATTTTCTGGTCTTCCTTGCAATTTCTAGATCTTCCCTTATATTTTTCGGTTTTCCGTCACATTTGTGGCCTGCGACTTTTGGTCTTCTTCGGTTTTCTTTGGTCTTCCTGGTGGTCTTCCCGGTCTTCCCAGTTTTCCCAGTTTTCCGGGCGGCCAGTGTACGCGCTCAAACCTAGTTGCGTACCCCTCGCAAGAAACAAACAAAAGCATTAACTATTGACACATAAATAAAATGGCACGATATGCAAGTACACCATATTTTTATGACTGTCACCTCATCAAGGAGTTGAAAAATTCTTGAAATGTTTCTTTTCCTATTTGTTGTCTCAACAGGCTTGTACAAGTTGTACAAGTTAAACTGTAAGCGGTATACTCCTGGCAGTGTCATTGTATCCCTGCCTTGCCGTCCATAAAATTACAGAGTAAAATTACATATATTCCGGGCAAACTTACAGTTTTTCTGTAATATTACTTAAGGCCTGGAAAATGTTTACACAGTTTCAGTAACAATATTACCAAGTCTTGTATATTTACCTAGCTTCAATGGGAAAATTACATGATTATGTTAAATTTACCATTAGACTTCCGTAAAACTACATGGATTTGTTAAATTTACCATAAGACTTCTGTAAAATTGCATTGGTTGTACGTTACGTTACGTTACAACAAAACATGTCGTAAAAATGCCAGTGCTTGTAATTTTACATAAATGTGTTGTAAAGATGTACATGATTTTTATGTAAAACCACTATTTTTTTTTTGCAGTGTGGAGAACTGTTTTGTGCGCATGAGATATGATGGTCTTCTGAACTTCCTCAAGGGGAGGCCAACCCTTATCCAGAAGGTTCAAAGGCTTTTGGTCATTCAAAATCTGGCAATTGTCCAGTTTATGAGCGTTTCGAATGCCCCTTCTGTCATGGGGCGCCTTTCCCTAAAAGGTTCGTAGATGACAAAGGTATCACACTGCCGTTACTGCGACAAGTACTGGTGCGAAAAGTGCCTCGACATTGATCTGCCTGAAAGCCAATGTAAGTATAACGTTGGTTCTTTCTGGTATATCCCCAGCCACTGTGCTGCTGGTATCTGAAATTTATCAGCATGTCTAAAGACTTGGCTGTTTCCTTTCTAGGGTGCCTTGTAAAGAAGGGTCAGGAGCTGTTCTTTGCTCAAGATCACAAAATCATGTTTTTCTTACATAACACTTATGAGGCATTCGCAACGGTACTGTCAGCCTGAAACGCGCTACATAGGCGAACGGAGGTTAAAAATGATAATAAATGGTCTATTACGACTGTTATTGCACGATATTTGTGCACTGTTCTATTCGCAGAACCAAAGTTTCAGATTTACTTACAGTATTGGCGGTGTTTACGGTTGTCGGTCAGACTGAAATAAACACAGACTATGCTAAAATGTTAAGAATAGACCATTTCACCGACTGTGGAAGAAGAAAGAAAAGAATCATCAATAACCACCGGAAACAGAATTGATAAACAGATCAAATCGTTCACTTTTTCTAGTTATCTTGGCCAAGATAATTATTCTGGATTTGTTGGTGTGCCATAGAAGTGTACACAAATGATCTACATACTGGTTTTCGGTACTGTTTCCGGTACTTTTTGATTCTTTTCTTTCTTCTTCCCCATTCGGTGGAATGGTCTTTTATTGTATTTGCTGGTAAACCTATGAAATTTTCTGAAAACAAAACGAAAAATTACGAAAAAATCTGTAAAACTTCTGAAAAATTACATTTTGTGCTTTGCAGGTTGCCCACCTACCCCTTCACAGGGACCCCCATGGGTGCAAAAATTGCTTGAAGTGTTATAAAAAACGAAAATAAGAAGTTGTGTACCCTAAACCGCAGTCTTTTCACAGCTAAAACGGCGAAATAGTACCTAGGGGTCAAAATGATCCCCCCGTTAGATTGGATCTAGGTATACCGAAATCCCGGTAGTTCTAGTGTTAATGAAAACCGTCACCGAACAGCAGAGGTTCCATGTCCCTAATTTTAGAGTAATATGTCCCTGACAAATGCTGTCAGTATGTCAAATTTTTGTGCCGGAACGCCCTGTTCCCTTATACTATCCTATTAGCTCGTCTCGGGTGTCAGCGTCGCAGGACTAGCTTTGTGTGCGCCAGGCGCGTCGCAGCGTAACAGTGTTTCGTGAGATATCGCGAAGCCTGTTACGCGAGATGTGGTCTGGCATACATACAACTAGTAGACAAGGTAGATGTACGCCAGACCACGTCTCGCGTAACAGGCTTCGCGATATCTCTCGAAACACTGTTACGCTGCGACGCGCCTGGCATACTTCTACCTCGGCGTGCGGCGCTGACACCCGAGTCGGGTAGTGCAAAAAGGTAGGACTTTTTTGGCAAAGTGTCAGCAAGTAAACATTAATAAGTCAGGAAATCAATTTTATTGGGTGCTCTGTGGGTGTCGTAGAGAACTAAGAGACTGTCATGGCATTACTGTGCTCTTCTGCTTTAACTTTTCTGTGGACCTGCAATCAAAAAATAGCGTGTTTAATTTTCGATCAATAAACGGTGACTGCTCCTCGGACATATTGGAGGGGCCTTCTCTTACCAACAGTAGGTTCTGGAAGTCCCCCTCGGACCGTGTGAGCTCTCTATTGACATTTTTTACCAAAGCGACTCCGCGCTCTGCCGTATCATTGACAACTTGCAAATGCTCTTGTTTCTTTTTATTTGCAAGGTATCCCACATCAAGGTGCCAGAGGGCAGGATCTTTCTGGAGAAAATCAGTACCCAGAGAAAATGAGAAAAAAATGCAAACTGTTTTCGTTTGCAAACTGTGGGAGTTGAAGGTCGCGCACGCCTTTCAATGTGACACTTTCGGGTAAAGTGTGCTTCATGGGGGGACGCACTCCAGGTTTGCACTTAGCTGCAATTTGCAGGTTGCCTACCATAGCCCTCTGTAGGACTGCGCCTCCACTTCCATTCTATGCTGATGAGGCAGAATTTCACGTGCCTTCCTGGAGTTATTCAACAACTTGGTAATGATGTCAGCAGCGAGGTACCTGGATTCAAAACACTTTCGGGCGAGGCAAGTCACTCTGCTGTTTGACTTGTAGAGCTGCTCTTGGATGTAAGTGAGGCAGCCCGGATGGCGGCACCCAGCCAAGGCCAGGCAGGCACCTCGATGCCAACACATCCTGCAAAGATCGAAACAGAAGTCGAGGCCAGCATATACAGGATGTATCCTGATTCAACAACATCAACCACCAGGAAAACTTACCTTTGCAGTGATTTGGCATGCGTGGCGCATTGAATGCGGTAAGTCCCAGGAATGAGGTAAAGCGATTTGCATAGCTGGTCCCAGTCAGAGAGACCTGCTTTGCCACAGTAGTGCTGGGGTACCACAGTGTGTGACAACATTTTGATGGACCGGTGGTAGGGCGTCCTTACAGGCTTCGCCTGCCTCTCCTTCCAATTAGTAGGCCCACGAGGCTGGAATGGACGACGCCAGGTCAGGTCTAGACCATTTTCCAAGCCGAGCTGGGCCATGGACCGCGGCGCAAAGCCGTCCAGGACCGACTTGATCCGGTCCACAATGTCAACCGCGTCCTCATGACACCAAAGCAGCGCCATGATGTAGGCTGCCTTTTTCAGCTGAGCAAACATTAAGAGGGAGAAATCAGCATTTATAGCAGGAATAAATGGAGGTGCGGGCGACAACAGTCGAATCACAACTTACCTGAGCAAAGGTCAGCCATAGCCCACTTACAACAGCAGTAGGCGGGCCCTCGGCGCTTCCATCCAGGTTTCGGAGGTGCATTACCAGTGGTAGCAAGAAGTCGACGTTCAATATCTCCACCTCTCGCATGTTCTCAAGCCGCACCAGGTAGTGCCTCGGGACGGCGAGCTGCACCTTGACAGCCACGAAGCTGCCGTGGTCCCACACCTCTAGTCGGGAAAAGTGGTCTTCGAAATCCATCACCTGAGAAACAAGGGACGAGGAAAAACATCACAAGCTATCGTTGGAACCGACACCCGCCTGTCTCGCGAAAAACCATTCCGGTAAAGCTGAAGTGCAGAACAATGCATAGCTCAAGAAGAGGAAAGTCGCCATGCTGCAACATGGCGACACAACAACCTAACGTGCCAGACAAACATGGCCGCTTAGCTCAGAGTCAGGCAGTGTGGTGAGGGAGTTTCTAAGTCCGTTAACATCCGTGATACACCGTGATAAATATCGCCATATTGCAAGCTCTGGCGCTTGCAATTGAAAAGATTTATCAACTAACCTCGCCCTCCGGCACCAAAGGTGGTCCTTCCGCCATGACAGCGAAAATACGACGTCCCTCGCCGAGGACCGAAATAACGACTCGGCGAACGAAAGTTTGAGGGTGATTAGAAAAATACAGAACGCAGGAAGACTTTCGGCGAAATTGACAGTCAAAACTCAAAATGACGCAATAAAGAGCAGGGAGGGAATACGGACGACTCGACACACGAACACGACACGGAGGACGGCTAGCTCAGAGGACGTCGCGACTTCTGCTCGGAGTGAGGCGGCGTGCAGGAAGCGCACCTGCAGCGTAGGCAACCCTCCCGGCACGCCTGTCGGGCGGGCTGAGCGCGCTCTCTAGATTGTCTTGGGGACGGCCGGAGCAGGCCTAGTGAATTGCTCAACAACGTCTCATGGTCACTCACCCTCGCCGTCTCTGTCTTTGTCTCCAAGTGGAGGGGCAGCAGGCCCGGCAGCCCGTTCCCATTGTCCCCGCACAGGCTTCACGGTTTGTCTCCCAGCGATCTCTATACGGGATCGTAAACGAGACTTTGGCCGAGACGCAACTGGAGACGAAACGCAGCGTCTCTCGGTTGTCTCAACGACGGCTTCGGGCATCTCTAAGAAGGCTCAACCACATCTGTTAAATATCTCCAGGCTATCTCCCCAGGAGACAACCTAGATCTCGTTATTTTTGTACGGGTACGAGATGTTGTATGTGTATAAGCCGTATCGAGTATCTGTAAACAGTCTTAGCCCAACCCCTTATAAACCCTTTGTAATGGACCAATAAACTCTCTTGATCACTCTTGATCACTGTAGAACACTCTTCTCATTCAGTCCTACAGCAGTTGTACCTCAGGTTAGTACCACTCGGAAACGTTCGTCCTCGTATGTTCGCCGCCACCTCGGAACATTACAAAGACGTTGTGTTTTTGATTGTGTTGCGTCGGCAATTAATTTGAGCGTCATCCATTATAAGCGTTTTATAATTTTGACTCCAGGAGCAAATATTTCTAGTCGCGGCAATTAAGGTGCTGTTATAAATCCTTTTGAGTTTTCTGTGGAAATAGGTGGTTTTAAAGAATTAGGCATGTATTTATAAGAATTTATTTATTTAGCTGAAGGAATACCTTGACAATTGGCGTCTATGGTGTTGCTTAGGGATGGTTAAAAGCTAGTTTGTGGTACTTAGGTATTACCCACAGGTTTTGACGATTGGTATGTACTGACATACTCACAAAAGGTTGGAAGTGTTCCAAATTTTCCAAAAGGACCATTTTTAGCCCGCTCTTTTGCTTAAAAGCTATATAAGCGGGCTTATGCCATCGCCTCTGTGTCTGTCTGTCTGTCCGTTTTTCAAGAAGGACGTGGGCTAGAGGTTTGAAACTTTCAGGGTATTATTGTTGCCACTTCTGGTCAACGAAACGGTTGGTGCAAATCCTGGCAACCACCCCTGAGTGGGTCTGAGGGGGTAACAAAGAAATAGGGGTTGGTCCAAAAAGTGAAAATAGTAATTTTTTTTTATGGCTCTGTAAGGGGTAACTCGTGAAAGTAAAGGCCTTCTGGCGAAAATTTCGTCCGTTTGGCTCTATCTGTCACCGTTTAGGCGCTAGAGGGAGTTTCTCTCACGAAAGTGGCCCAAAAATAAATATATAAATCTTAGAAAATATTTGATTGTCTCTTAAGGGATAACTTGTGAAAGTAGAGCCCTTTGGGCGAAAATTTCGTCCGTCTGGCTCAATCTCTCACCGTTTACGCGCTAGAGGGAGTTTTGATTACGAAGTAGACAGCCCGTTTTCGGATAGAAAATGTATTACACAATGAAAATTCAGAAGGGACGGGAAGGCCCGTCCGAAACGCCGCCGGCAGGCCAAGCTGGGCCCGCTCCCTGCCGAACCGAGTTGCCGGTGGAGCGAAGCGGAGCTGGCAACTTGGTTTGGCGGAAGAGCGGGCCCAGCTTGTTACTGCTTCAGGCGGGTCCAAGTCTTGAATGTTATAAGCATTGCACAAGATTTCAGACTTTACACTTTTGAGAACAGATACCAATAAAATTTTATCTCATCATGAGGTAGTATTTCAATCACTTTTCCGAAGGTTGATTTCTGTATTCAAGGTCCACAGGCCATATATGGGCATTTCTTTAAAGCCCTGTATTGCCCACGGGAGGAAGACAGCCAGCGATGCAGACATGTTCTGTGGAAAAGGTGGCCACAATCCGTCACACACAACTTGCCTTCTTGAACTTCATAGCAAACACGACAAACATCAGTAGCATCCGCGTATCAAAAAGGGGTAAAAGAATCGGAGAAAGCAACATGAAACATAACTCAGCAATGTTCTATGAAACAGACCTGCATCAGATGATTTATCTCGACATGTCGACTTGGTCATGTTTTTCTTATTTATACTGCGTTTTGGCCGCCCAGGCCCTCTTTTACTTGTCTTCTTAGAACCACCGGCAACTGGCTCTTGGTTCTCATCGTTAAAACCTGCCACAGGTAAAAAAAAAAAGATCAGGCAAAAAATAAATATAGATTCCCATACAAAGCAGAAATCTCAGACGAGCAATTTAAAACTGTAAAATGAGATTACCTGCATGTGAGGTTGATGGGAGAACACCAGCTTCTCGCCAGTTGAAATGGCGGTTCAGAGGCTTACAAGGCCTCTTAACAGGCATCTTGAGATCATCACAGTCAGACAAATCAGAGCCCACAATGATCGGACGTACTCTGCTTGAAGACTCATTTCGTAATACTCTTAAGGCTGAGAGAACACTTGAAAATGAGTTGTCAAACGTCTGGTGGGTACCAGACATCATGGGATGATGAAAGTTTATAAACAAATAGATTGAGACAATATTTACCAAGGGGTTGCCTTGAAGACCTCGATCCAGAAGCTGTCGCTTCGTTTTCTCGTTTTCTGTTTCAAAATCATCCTGCTTTCCTTAATCCTTCTTCTCATCTCCCCTTTTTCCCCTACCCAGCCCCACCAAACTCCCGATTGTAGATAGCCGAGACATCTGCAAAAAAATGTAAGGAGTTATTACTAAGAAGTTTAACACCGAGATGAAACCGTACCAAACTTTACACCCATACCCTATTCTACACACCCCGTCAACGGCCCATCGTTTCGACGAAGTGTGCATGGTTGTACATTTTTTTTCACTTATTTTCGACTAAAATGCCCTCGAGCGCTTCAACAGGTCGAGCGAGAGCTAAACGAACTATATTTTTATCCTTAGGACTCTTCTTCGCTGAGTTACCACCTAGGAAAACATTCGACTAGCTATATGTACGCCAGACCACGTCTCGCGTAACAGGCTTTGCGATATCTCACGAAACACTGTCATGCTGCGACGCGCCTGGCGCACATTATCTAGGCCTGCGGCGCTGACACCCGGGACGTTTTAATGGGAGGGTAATAAGAGGAAGGGCCTTCCGGCCCCCAAAAGTTTACATAATCACAGCATTTGACGGGGCCTTATTAATCTAAAGCAAGGGAAATGAACCTTTGACTGCGATAAACGATTTCATTAAAAGTTCGAATTTGGACACTCCGTCTGGTCGGAGAAAACTTTTTCTGTCAGTCTGTCTGTGTATCCGTCTGCACGAAAACTCGAAAACAAATATAGTGAGCGACCTGGGATTTTCAGGGTCGTTTTGGGTCATTAAAAGACAGATCGAGTTCGAAGATGAGCATTCCAAAATTGGATCTAAATAAAAATCAAAAACCACAGGTTGCAAAATTTTTTTTTCTAATATTTTCCTGAGATATCGCCAAGCCTGTTATGCGAGACGTGGTCGGGCGTTCATCTACCTTGTGAGAACAGAACTTGAACGGCCATTTGGCTGAGCGATTAGCATTAGCGAAGCCCGTTACTCCACTGAGCAGAAAAGTTTCATTCTGTTTGTCAGTCTGTCCGCACGATAACTGGAGAAAGAATTGAGATAGCAATCTGGGAATTTCAGGGTCGTTTTGTATCAGTAAAAGACAGATCGAGTACGATGATAAGCAATCTAGCCTAAAAATTGATTTAAAAAGAATCAAAAACCACAGGTTGCAAAATATTTTTTTCGAATACTTTTTTTTTTTGGTGTCCAGATGGTAACTCGTGAAAGTCCGTTTGGCTCTACCTTCTATCGTTTTGGCGCTATGGGCATTTCTTGGCAAAAACAACGTGGAAAAGATAAAATGGTCCATTGAATCGTCCAAAATGGTTTCATGTCACAGAATTGTAAAGGGAGTTATACTTACGCCACACATTACGAGTCGAACCACACCCTCTTTTGGGCTTAAGGGTCCCTGGATTATCTAGTATCACTAAAGCGGTTATTTTTACAAAACAATCTGTCAAAATTCGAACTTTTCATAAAAACCGTTACCGAACAGCAGAAGGCCCACTGTAAAAAAAATCCATCTTAATTTTAATAACACATGTTTTGAAGCAGTTTACAAAACAAATTTGCTCTTAAATTTAAGAACAAACAGTTTCTTAAAATTCAAAACATGTTTTGAAAATTAAGAACGTGTTATGAAACGCCAAAAATGCTTTTCTTTTCCAACCTAACGCAAATCTGGAAAATATTTAGTACATTCCCCTAGGGGCAGATGTTTACACCCAACTTCCCACATATTATAGATATTTGCCTTACCTTACCTGGGTGGATTCGAACCTCGGACCATTGACGCCTTAGACCGCGTGGCTGTCGGGATGTACCTGTGAGGGGAGCGCTCGCACCCGACCTTATGCGGCGCTCCGTCCAGGGGCATTCCCAGAGTAGCTATGTGCTTGGTCGGACGCCGTATGTTTGTTAACTTGCTTTTTTGACATATGGCCTATCTAAATTCGATATGTTGTTCACCCTATACTATATTGAACGCCAAAATTCCATGTCCGGTGGTCAAAAGCTACATGACTTTTAAGAAGTGTCCTGAATGCTAGTATTAAAAGTAAGAATGGTTGTGACTTTTCAACACAATTTTGTCAAAACTAAGGAAAACTTTTAAATTTAATAAACTTGTTATGAAATTTAGTGACCCCTTAGTACAATTGAGAATTTCATCAGAATTCTCATAACCTTGCTTGCAATATTAAGAAAACTTCTTAAATATCATAATCTGTTATTACGTTTAAGAACAACTGATAATGTTATTAAATTTAAGAGATATTTTGCTCTGAAATTTCAGAATATTTTTTACAGTGCCCGGAAGGCACTGTTCCGCTATACCCTCTCCTTAACTCGTTTCAGGTGTGAGCGCCGCAGGCCTAGCTATTTGTGCGCCAGGCGCGTTGCAGCGTAACAGTGTTTCGTGAGATATCGCGATGCCTGTTACGCGAGACGTGGTCCGGCGTACATAGAGCTAGTGTAAAAGGTAGATGTACGCCAGACCACGTCTCGCGTAACAGGCTTCGCGATATCTCTCGTAATACTGTTACGCTGCGACGCGCCTGGCATACATCTACCTTGTCCTGCGGCGCTGACACCCGAGTCAATGTACACAAAGTTACGGGCCTCACGGGCCTCCGGCCTGTCAATGGCCTGTAACTTCGAGTACGCATGCAGGGTTGCAAATTTTTTTCGCGTCAAATATTTCCGTCAAAAATACCCTCTCTAGCGCTTCAACAGTTTGAGCTAGAGCCAAACGGTCAAAATTTTCGACCGTTTGACTCTAGCTTAGTTACCCCATGGGAAACTGTAAACAAATATTTCTAAGGAACGTCATTTTTGGAATCCGTGTTTCAAAAAAAATCTAATCTTTCAGCTAGGATGCTCGTCTTCGAACTCGATCTGTCTTTTTATAACACGAAACGACCCTGAAAATCCCAGGTCGCTACCGCAATAGGGTGTATCAGGCTATCTGAAACGGAAGTGAAAGAGAGCAAACTCAGTGATTTATTTGTTTCCGCCTGTTCAGTATGAGAAATTACCATACAAGCTTGGTCCGATACTAACCTCTCAAATAGGGCATTCCGCTACAACACAATCGGAACCTAAAGAAGAAAAGCATGACTACCCGATCTGTTTCCTTCTGAACGCTGATTTGCCAAAGATGGCGTGGCTGTGGCGGTCACCCAATGAGCGCGCAGAGGGAAACAGATCGAGCAGTCATGCTTTTCTTCTTTAGGTTCCGGTTGGCTTGCAGCGGAATACCCTATGTGGAATGGATGGGACCTCGAAACTGATCTGGCAGTTTTTCATACCAGAAAAGCCGTAGCGGGACGTGATCCGCTCGACCAATCAGAGCCATTACGGAACCAGAAAAGTCAGTGAGCTTGTTCTTTTCCTACTTCCGTTTCGGATAGCCTGGAACACCCTATTCGTTCTCGAAATATCGTGCGGGCAGACACACCGATAGACAGACAGTAAAAATTTTTTTCCGACCGGTGGGAAGAAATAGGCTTCTTTAATCGCTCAGCCAATAAACGGCTTACTGCAACCTGATCGCCCGCGCAGACGCAACTACAACTCTTTTGTCATCACAACGAAACTGATTGGCTGAGAACAGCAGACATCGTGCTTCCTGGTAAGACGATCTGTGGCCGATGCAACCATATATTTCGTAAATTTTGATTACTTTTGGAATATTGTTGATCTTATTCGTATGTATGCAAATTTTCAATCGAATTGAACGGTAGGTTTAATTTAAATTAGTTCGAGGCATCGCAGCTGATAAACAGCGGGCCCCCGTCGGGTTCCATCAGCCCTAGCACGGGGGCTGTAGTTGGTGCTGTCTTGAGTGCCTCGAATGCGCTCTGCGCTTCCTAAATCCACTGACCGGGGCCCTTTTTTGGTTAAGCGGTGAGGCGGTGCAGGGGCGCGGCAGCTCCACAAATTTTTTCGCTTTCTCCACGTCTGTCTGTTTTCCCTCAGCTGTCCAGACATGCCCTAGAACTTGCAGTTTTTGCAGGGTCAGGTTGCATTTGGAGGGCTTAGCCTTTAAGTTGGCCTGCCTGAAGCGCATTAAGATTTTCTTTACACTCTTAATTTAAAGGGACAATTTTGTCCGTAGATTTAGAATTGCTTCGTTCACATCCAGAAAGGATGCAATTTTGTTCCTTAAATCGGACAAAATTGTGTAAAGTCTCACACAATTCGTCTAGTATTAAGAACAAAATTGCATCTTTTCTGGATGTGAACGAAGCAATTCTAAATCTACGGACAAAATTGTCCCTTTACATTTAGAGTGTATTTCGCCCAGTATTTCCTCCACGTCAACTCCACCATAAACTACGTCAGCCATCATGGGGACGAGATTAACGGGGGCGAGCACTAGTTCCAGTAGATGCTGAAACCCCGCGGGCTGCACTGACCAAGAGGGTGTTCAACTCTATGTTCCCCACCCCTATGCCCAAACTGTAGTACCACTGCGTTGATTAGGTGTTTTCGCAGATCAGGTCCACTGGTTATTGGGAACATGGTCTCTTTGTCTTTGCTTAACAGTCCACTTTCGGGAATTTCGTGTTAGCCTTGATAAAGGCTGTTTCGTGGTAGGCGAAGTCAACTCGCTAGTGCTTTGTTTTTTTTACAAACATGCCACAGTTATATCTTGCCTGGCAGTTCTACGCCTTCACAGCTAACCGTCGAAGAGGACCTGCCTCGACATCTGTTGTGGACCTAAAACACCCATCCGAGTCGACATTTCTCACAAGAGGTGCTAAACGAGATGGGGGTAGAAGGTCCTCTTCCAAATGTCGAACAGGGCGCTCTGCAGGAAGGCGAGAGTAGTGGCACCATGTGGAACTTCGTCCT